AGAATCGAAAAAAGAGAAAAATACAAAGAAACACAAAATATCACAAACACACAAACCAAAATACACAAAAACAAAGAAAAGAGCCCTTCTCCCAACTGGACAAACACACCAGACGAGCCTCAACTGTAACACCATGATCGACCACCGAAAAGACCGAACCATAGCCCAATTCCAACTTCAAAAACTGCAACACCGGCCTAACTAGAGTCAAAACCCACGCCTCAGCCCACTCCCTAGCGGCCAACCATAACCCCTCTGCCGAAGATCAATCAGCCAGCCCCACCCCACACCATACACCACCACCCTGTTCCCAATCAACGCCATAACCACCGACCTCTGCCACGTCCACCTACGCGGCAAACGAAGCCACAACCCGTCCACGATTCAACACCGCAGTCGCCTCCGTCTCGCCGCCATGGAAACTGACGGTCTTCTTCTTGAGATGGCAGCCACAGGAGTCGAGGACCACTCGAGAACGTCGACCGACTCCAATCGCTTGAGAAGATGGCTCTAGCATCAAATTGCAGATGCACCATAAGCAAGGAACCGGCCACCGTCGAGGGGTCCGACGGCCCCGTCGGGGAACGCAGACGACAAAAAAGGCTAAGGAAATGATTGGAAATGATGATTAGTTAAAATTATGTGAGTTGATGAATAGTGAATTAAAGTTGATGTGATGTATAGAATGATTGGTTTGTATTATTTAATTATATGAATAATATTAAAAATAGTGAAGTTGAGTTAAAATTGAATTAAAATTTTGAATATGAAATAAAAGTGAGTGAAATAATTCATAAACAAGCAAGCCGGTTTTGCTTTTTTGAAATTTGAGGGAGAGATAGGGAGAGAGCAATGATGCTAGTCAAAAGGCTAGGATTTTTTTTTAATTATTATTATTATTTGGTGGTTGATGAAATAAATTTAGATAGATATTTTAATTTCATATCTGAAGTTTTTTTTTTTTTTTTTTTTTATTCTTTTCATATCAGTGGATTGACAGACATGAATTTCATATCCGAAGTTGAATGTGAAACAGTGAAAGCAAATTTTTAACCGAGTTTGTACTATTTTATTTGGGAAAATGCTACAAGTATATAATAATGTACATAAAGATGTACATAACACTTACATAAAGTGGATCTATTTGATTTTTTATTTTTGGTAGGTCTCATTCAATGTAAGGTGTTATGTAAATCTCGATATACAATATTATGTACATATAGCATTACAACATTACTCATATTTTAATCCTATCATTATAAAAAATCTCTAGGCACTTTTGAAAATGTGAAAGCAAATTCACGGCGCCTGTCGTTATATAATCAATCAATTTTCGTTATTTAAAAAAAAAAAATAGATTAGTTTTGGAGAAATGCTACCATTCCGTTACAGAATCATTCCGTCAAAGTTTGTAACGTTGAATCATCATATAACCATCGTGATAGTTGATCTAATGGTCAAAAATCCCGACAGAATGGTTCCGTAACGGGACTGTAGCATCTCTCCTTAACTTTTGTAGTAGTCCAAGGAAGACCCCGAATTAATTAAGTTCTAATATATAGTAATCAATTTATTTTTGTTACAACTTGTTCTTCCACGATCAATTGATTCGATTTTCTCAAATTCTTGTGTATACTTTGACAATTGTTTATTTATTTTTTATTAATTATTGCTATTTTTCAAAATTTGACCACTTTTGCACATTTTTCGCATGGACTTGCTAACCAAGCTGTTGCCCTAATTTAGGGGGCAAGTCTATGACATGTGAGAATATTAAGTCACACTATAGCCAATATCATATTCGATTTCTATTTATTTATTTATTTACACTTAGATAATACACTTACAAATGCTTAAAATATCCATGTCCATAATACATATTACTAATATTTCACTTCATTACCCACCGGACATGGGATGGATCAAAGTTAACACGGGCGGGGCATTCAATCGCATTACCGGGATGTGTAGTGAGGGGGAGTTCTTCGAAATGAGTCCGGTAGATGGATTGAAGGATTTGTTATGAATATTGGGATTGGCACTATCATTGGTGCCGAACTGTGGGGCTTATTTCAAGGTTTACAGATGGCTTGGGACTTGAGATTTCGACAGGTTGAAATTGAGATTGATAGCAAGTGTGTGCTGCAAATGGTTACAAGATCACGCGCGCACTTTGGAGTCCATGAATCCTTAGTCAGAGCCATTCGATCGTTGGTCGAGCGAGACTGGAGCGTTCGGATCCAACACGTACATAGGGAAGCCAACTTCGCGGTGGATCATATGGCGACTCTAGCAGCCTCGTTCCCGCTAGGAATACAGAGAATCCCGTCCCCTCTCCAAGGACTGGATGAATGGCTTGACCACGATTTCGTGGGGTGGCTCACCCCCATTGTGTTCTAGATTCGTAGTTCTCAGGCCTCTGGCCTCCATCTTTGTACCAAAAAAAAAAAAAAATATTTCACTTCATTTTCTATTATTTTATTACAGTTATTTCATATTTGAACCATTACGTCAAAGTTTGAACTACTTTTCAACACCCATTGCTTTTGAAAAATTGCAACATGAACACATTTTTCCTAGGCCACGATTAATAAACTAACCATATTTGCAACACAATTTAGTCATAGTTCACTTCATATTTTCGCACATTAAAAAAAAAAAAAAAGTACATAAAAACAATAGTATGATCACATTTTTCGTCAAAGTTTGAACAACTTTTTTCCCTCAAACGATAATTATATTAAAAACTGAAAAACTAAAAAAAAACACGTCCGAGGTGCCAAAGGATACCAAAGAAACTAGGGCTACAAACGAGTCGAGCACCTCGAGTCAATGCTCAACTCAAGCTCGGTCAAACTCGAGCTCGAGTAGTTCGATCGAGCAAACGAGTCGAGCATCATTTCAAGAGGCATGCTCGACGAGTCGCTCGATTTTTTTTATTTACTTAAATACCCTATATAGTTTAATTCAGTATTAGAAAATCAAGGCCAAAATGTCAAATTCAAATAAAAAATAGTACATTTATATTTAAAATTTAGGTGTTAAAATTTCGAGTCGAGCTCAATTATTCTTACTTTTTACAATCAGTCGAGTCGAGCGGCATTTTACATGGCTCGTCGAGCTCGAGCAATAAAGAGAAAAACTCAATCTGCATTCGATATTGTTCATGCTCGACTGAACTCGTTTGTAATCCTAATCTTAACCAATTTTAAGAAAAAAAATTCCAAACCAACAAAAAATAACCAAGATAGGAAATAAAATAAAATAAAATAAAAGTAGGTTTATTCTATATTCTATATAACCCACTCCACAATAGGCCACTTTACTCTCTCACTCATTACTTTACTCCCTTTAATCTCCCAACCCACCATCCATGGCCACCTCCTACCTCTTCTTCGCCGCTGCCATGGTCGCCGCCGCCCTAATCTCGCCGGCCCTCTCCCAACCGTGCGTACACACCCCTGACCCCGATTTCCCCAACTGCAAAAACCTCGACCAGCTCAACGCCACCCTCCGTTGGGGCTTCGACGTGGAGCACAACACCCTCTTTGTGAACTACTCCGCCCCGAGCTCGGCCTCGGGTTGGGTCGCCTGGGGCCTCAACCCGACGGCCACCGGCATGCTCGGGGCCCAGGCCCTCATCGCTTTCCGGGACTCCAACGGGTCCTACGTCGTCCAGACGTCGAATATCTCGACGCTCGCCTTCCGCGAGTCGCCCATCGCCTACCCCGTCTCAAACCTTTCCGCGAGATATTCCGGCGGCCGGATCTCGTTCGCCGCCATGCTGCATCTGACGGGGCGGCCGGCGTCGGGCGAGGTGAACCACTTGTGGCAGGTGGGGCCGGTCGACAGCCATGGGGTGGTGAGTGTGCACGATATGACGTCGGACAACTTAAATTCAACGGGGACGCTCAGCCTCAATGGAGTGGAGCAACGCGCGGATGCGCCTGCTGGGGAGCCGGCGGTGGCGCCGACGGCCGGGGGGAGGAGCGGCGGGGGGAGCCCGGCGGGGAGCGGCGGAGGGAGGGCTCGGGGCGGCGTCGATTTGGGGGTTGTGGGCCTGATTTGGGCTGTGTGCTTTTTTGCTTTTTAATTATTGTGTTTTTGGTTTTTTATTTCTCGATTTTTTTTTTTTTTACTATTTTTGCCAGTTCGAATAATTTTACTGTATTTCAGAAAGAAAAAGAAAAATATAGCTAAAATGTGGTTTTTGTTTTTGTTTTAGGGAATAAATTATTTGTTGCTTTATTTAGTGCGGAGGATTTTTTTTATTTTTTATAATTCTTTTTTTAAAAAGTTTTCATTATTATATTTTTGGAAGATGGTACGGTTCCATTACGGAACCATTCGGTCGAGATTTGTAACTTTTAGATCAACTAACTCTGACGGTTACATGATAATCTAACGGTTACAAATCTCGACGGAATGATTATATGTTTTTCCTTTTTTGATAATAAATATTTTTCCTTTTTTGGTAATAAATCATGCAAATATGTTGAATTAGAAGAAAACTGTAAAAGCAAAAGTCAAAAACTATTTATCGTTTGAACTATTATATAGTTTTTTTTTTTTATTTTACGTTGATAATCAAACAATGATTTTTTTTTTCTCCATTAAATCTATTTATTCTTATATGTTTACATTATAATATATGGTATTTCACAATATAACGAATTCTTACTTTTTCTTAATATTAATAATGCCTCTGCTTAAAAATACATTCAATTTATAATAAATAAATGGAACACTTTATAAAATTATTTAAATACACAACAGCACATATCAATGTGAAGGGAAATACTATGGCTCCCGTTACGGAACCATTCCGTCGGGTTTGTAACCGTTGATCATCATGTAACCGTCGAGATAGTCGATCTAATAATTACAAACCCGACAAAATGGTTTCCAAACGGGACCCTAGTATCTCCCCAATGTCAAACCCGACCTGCGAAATCCATCCAGTCAAAAGTTGAATTTAATTCATTTTATATTTTAGCATTAAGTAATCTAGCATTAAATGTATCATATGTTCAGCTATATTAAAAAGTACACGTCAAAATAATAATAATAATAATAATGAAAAAAAAGAGATCAAAATTAAAAATACATTGTAGATTCACATCAATTTTTTATACTTTAATATTTCATTTTATATTTAATAAATAAAAATAATAATAAATAAATTAATAAATTTTGTGGCTTTAATTTTAATTACATGCAAAAAATGACACTTATCCTTGTGAATACAGAAAATCTTTATTGGGAAACTCACTCACCATTGCTAGGTGTGCGACCCAGATCGACCAACGAATTAGTCGGGGCAACGCTCCAAATATCGTGATTGGCTATAAAAAAAAAAAAAAATGAC